AAAAAAAAAAAAAAAAAGTAATTAATGATCTTTAAATAATTTCGTGGCACACCTAAGACCCTCTCAAGTGTGCTATTGCTGGCACACAGGTTGAAAATCACTGACCCCCTGGCTCGGCACCTGTGCCTCAAGCAGCCAAGGCACCAGCCACATACACCTGACCTGCCAGGTTCGAATTCAACCTGGGTCACCAAACAACAATGATGGCTGCAACCAAAAAATAGCCGAAAATAATTACAGGTGCCTGTAGTCCCAGCTACTTGAGAGGTGGAGGCAGGAGAATTGCTTAAGCCCAGGAGTTGGAGGTTGCTGTGAGCTGTGATGCCACGGGGCTCTACCCAGGGGGACAGCTTGAGGCTTTGTCTCAAAAAAAAAAAAAAGAGACCAGACTATGACTATAGATGGAGAGCCATTAGAGGAAAAATAGAGAGGATGTGGGAACCTGCCTAGGCTCCATAGAATATAGCATTTATGGAGAAGAGATGCTGGCAGAGGAAGCAGAGCTGAGACAGCCAGAAAGGTAATAGGGAACAAAGAATGGGTGTTATAATTCTGTTCCCCGATGGTGCTTGGCTTTGTGCAAATTACTTACTTGTTAAAACCTTTGTGACAGGTGGCTCATGCTTGTAATCCTAGCAGTCTGTGAGGCTGAGATAGGTGGATCCCTTGTGCTCAGGAGTTTGAGACCAGCCTGAGCAAGAGCAAGAACCTGTCTCTACTAAAAATAGAAAAATTAACTTGGTGTAGTGGTGGGTACCTGTAGTCCCAGCTACTCAGGAGGCTAAGGCCAAAGGATCTCTTGAGCCCAAGAGTTTGAGGTTGCTGTGGCCCAGGCAGATGCCATAGCACTTTAGCCTGGGCAACAGAGTGAGACTTGGTTTCAAAAACAAATCCGTGACATTCTGAAGGAAATGCTGTCATTACCCCATCTTACAACTAAGGAAATTAAGGCTGAGAGAGGGATATCACGTGCTCGAGGCTATCAAAGCCAGATCTATCTGTGACCAAGGTGAATGAGAACTGCGGCCCTCAGGTGAAGGCACAGAGAAGAGAAGATCACAGGGAGGCCAGATGAAACGTGTCGGCTCGGCGCCTATAGCTCAACC